GTAGGAAGGAGGGCCCTGGGAACTACCGACCTGTCAGCCTCACCTCTGTGCCTGGGAAGATCATGGAACAGATCCTCCTAGAACCTGTGCTAAGGCACATGGAGGACAGGGAGGTGATTCGAGACAGCCAGCATAGCTCCACCAAGGGCAAGTCCTGCCTGATCAACCTAGTGGCCTTCTGTGATGGAGTGACTACATCAGTGGACAAGGGAAGAGCTACAGATGTCATCAGTCTGGACTTCCGTAAAGCCTTAGACACAGTCCCCAACAACATCATTCTCTCTAGATTGGATGAGGAATTGGCTGGATGGTCACATCCAGAGGGTAGTGGTCAATGGCTCGGTGTCCAGACAGAGATCAGTGAGAAGTGGTGTCCCTCAGGGGTGTGTATTGGGACCAACACTGTTTAATATCTTCATCAATGACATAGACAGTAGGACTGAGTGCACCCTCAGCAAGTTTGCAGATGTCACCAAGCTGAGTGGTGCAGCTGACATGCACAAGGGAAGTGATGCAGACAAACTTGAGAAGTGAGCCCGTGTGAACCTCACGAGGTTCAACAAGGCCAAGTGCAAAATGGGTCGGGGCAGCCCCCGTTATCGATACAGGCTAGGGGATGAAGGGATTGAGGGTGGGGGGATGAGGGGTTGGAGGCCGCCCCTGCCGAGAAGGAGTTGGGGGTACTGGAGGATGAAAAGCTGGACATGAGCCACCAGTGCGTGCTCGCAGCCCAGAAGGCCAAACATATCCTGGGCTGCATTAAGAAAAGCATCAAGGGAGGGCATTCTGCCCCTCTGCTCTGCTGAGACCCCACCTGGAGTCCTGTGTCCAGCTCTGGAGACCTCAGCACAGGAAAGACATAGACCTGTTGGAGCAGGTGGAACACCTCTCCTATGAGGAAAGGCTGGAATAGTAGGGGTTGTTCAGCCCAGAGAAGACTCCGGCGAGACCTTATTGCAGCCTCTCAGTACGTTAAAGGGGGCTTATAAGAAAGATGGGGACAAACTTTTTAGTAGAGTGTCTTGCGATAGGACAAGGAATAATGGCTTTAAACTGAAGGAGGGTAGATTTAGACTGGATATAAGAAAGAAGTTTTTTATAACGAGGATTGTGAGGCACTGGAACAGGTTGCTCAGAAAGGTGGCAGATGCCCCATCCCTGGAAACCTTCGATGTCAGGTTGGATGGGGCTCTGGGCAACCTGATCTAGTGGAAGATGTCCCTGTTCACTGCAGGGGGTTTGGACTAGGTGACCTCTAAAGGTCTCTTCTAACCCAAAGCATTCTATGATTCTATACTACAGATGCTAACGAGCTTTCCTCCCCCGAGATGCTTCAGTCTGTAGAACACTAAGCAACAGAGGCGACAGAGTGCACTGCAACGGCTCAGAAAAATTCAGCAGAGCGATTATTAGGGAGTTACAATGTCTCTACCAGCATGTTTGTACCGTCTTTACTCTGAGAAAACAGCAGTATCAATTCCCCAGAATCTACAGTAACACCTCACTTCTCGTATGAGGTGTGAAAGGGAATGAGGTTTGGACCGATGCTGCCCACAGTGAAGAACAACTGCTGCTAGAAGTATTTTACTCCCCCAAATCACCCATTATTTCTGTCAATCCCCAGCCATAAATTTCCTTTTGGATTTACAAGTGCCACAGGTCTGTAAGTGACTGCATAGGCAGTAATTCAGACCGAGGTATGCAGGCAGCATTTGCTAGCTCTGGAAACCCATTCCCCTCTTCTCCTCTGAAAATGAGAGAGCTTAATGCAAGTTAATCAAGTTACTACCTTATCGTATTCTGAGTCTGTAAATAGCCTTTCAAGAACTTCAGCAGCCTCCTTGAAATATCCGTTTTCCATATGGACTGCTACAATCTGCAACCAATATAATTGCAAGATATGCTGAAATACATTTCACCTGAGATTCAGAAAAAACAAGAGAAGTCACACTTTTACAGTTTTGTAAGACTTCCAAAATCCAGAGGATTATATATTTAATGCTTACTAACACTTATCTAATTATAACAGTTAGTTCCGATGTAATATTAAGCCTCATGTATAAAAGCCTAAAACCTCTCCATCAGGCATTTAAAAATACCTTCACTGATGCAAAATGTCCCATACTTACCTACTAAGCATTGCTTTCATCTTTCCCTGAAAGACTTTCACAGTTCCAGTAGCTGTCAACAAGTTTTTACACAGAATCATAGGTTGGAAAAGACCTCTAGTCTAGACCTTGGACATCAAGTCCAACTGTCACCCCAACACCACCATGCCTACTAAACCATATCCCAAAGTGCCACATCTACACATTTTTTGAACACCTCCAGGGATGGTGACTCAACCACCTCCCTGGGCAGCCTGTTCCAGTTTCTGACCACTCTTTCAGTAAAGACATTTTTCCTAATATCTAATCTAAACCTCCCCTGACGCAACTTGAGGCCATTGCCTCTCATCCTATCGCTCGTTAGTTGGGAGAGGAGTTCCTCTTTGAAATCAAGGTTTTCTAATATAAAGAACTAGTTTTAAGCAAAAAAGCTACTCACAATATAAAGCTCAAGATCTCTCAAATGATTTTTTTTTTTTTCCCAGATTGGCAGCTTTTTGAACAATTTTGACCTGGGACAAACAGGAACCAATTTAGATAGAAAAAGGTGCCCTGTACTATTTACTCTGTACTTGAAAATACAACAAACTTAGAAAATTCAGTTTAGCCCAAGCTTTTTGTAAAAGGAGCTCTGTTTTAGCAGAATCAACAGGCAGCATCCTAAAGCATTTTGATTAAGTCACACAGACCTGAATTTGAATCAAGCGTCGAATATCTTCATGAAGCTTTTCCAGTTTAATTTCTTCCCTTTCAAGTAAAGTCCAGAAAGACAGAGCAGATTCCAAAGGTGAAATTCTTTGTTCATTTCCATAACGGCATTCTTACGGAAAAAAAATAGAGAAAGAAAGGCATCTAAAAAACTTAAAAGGATAAAGCTAAATACATTACATTATTTGAGGAAAAAGGAATTGAAATTATGTATACTACTTATTACTTTATTGTGTATGAATAATTTTTAGTCTCTCTCTTCAGGTGTGTTTACAAGACTTGAAGTACCTGCCTTCTCCTCGGAGAGACTGGTTCTTCCCACCCTTGCTAATAACATTACTGTTGCAGTCTTAAGGGAGATTATGTGTCTGCTAATTATTGTTCACTTAAAATGCCACTTGCAATAGTACTAAGTTTAGCATCATGTATTTGGGCTGGCATTAATAATACTCTTACATTAAGCTTTGCATCAGGTATCAAAACATTTGGTATTGATACTGTTAATTTTATAATAACCACTATCCTAAGTTTTTTTTTTTCCTATCTCTATATTTCCATGTCTTAACTTTTTGTTATATTTGAAGGGGTTAAACAGAGGGAAGTTCAAACAGCTTAACACAAGAGTGTCACTGAAAAAGCAGAAGCAAACTCCCATGTCATTGTACAGCTGTGCCAACACCAAGGTTTGTGCAAGCTCCCAGCAAGCAGGATCAGTGACCAGTTCTGGCAGAAATCTAGCCCAGCCAAATAACCATCCTCTCACTCTAGACAGTTTCCCAGTCTGGTCATTGCACATCTGCACAAGGGAGTGTGCCAACTTTACAGATGCGGTAGGAGCTGGCAGGTGCACAAGACTGCTTTTTCCACCCCCATGACACTGCTAGCTTAGCTCAAGATATTCACTGAGCTACAGCCTCACTTCTTCCTTCATTTTACATGACATTATAGCGGAAACTCTCTCTATATCTTCTTATTCCTTGCAGTAAGTATTTTTCAGACAGAAGGTAAACAATTTAAGCAATGCTGAAAAAATAAGAAATATTTGATACCTGCTACATTAAAAGACAAACACTGAAAATTTAAGTAGTAATATATGTACACATGCATTAAAAAAAACCCAGCACTTTCGTGTGTATCTAAATATTGTTTCAATCAAGTAATATGACACTCTGTATTAAGTTTGTTTTAATATTGTAAAAACAAAGTGTTTAACTCAAAGAGCTGGCATCTGCAACAGCCTACTCTGTTTTCAGGCTCAGCAGAGATTAATTATATTAATAATTGGAAAAGGATCAGGAAAGCTACTGTATAATATATCAGCTTTCCATGTATACTGTGCAACTACATCTGATGTAATACCTATTAAGCATATGCAATCTTCCTCACCACACCGGTCATTCTCTATACTGATAGATAAAAACAAACATTGAAGTCATATTCCCAGGTATTATATACAACAATACAGTTTTAAAGCATTATCAGAAAAGTTTCACGGTTTGTATAAGATGAAGTATTTTAATATTAGAATTTGATTCTCAAGTTGAACTACATCAAGAAGGGTGTTACTATCTGACAAGAAACATAAGACATTTCATTTTATAAAAACAAGCCTTTGTGGCACTGCTAGGCTAGAATACACTTATTTCTTCCATGATCATGCTGGCAAGACTGCTTTTGAAGTCCTTAAGTTCCAATGAGTTGTATCAAGCAGTGAAAATTTGCAGCAAGAAAGTTAAATCCTCCAGAAACTTGAGCACAAAAGCAAAGTCAGCTTGGCTAAACGAGTAAGTTGTGAATACAGCCAAACAGGAGACATGGTAGTAAGAGTCCCAAGGACCTGCTGCCAGCTGTAAGTCTTATAGCCTTCTGTAAGAAACAAGAGCAGTCATCCTGTTCATCCATATTCTTATTCCTACCAGCTGGCCTAATTAAACCTCTAAAGCCATATCTGCAAAGAAACACACATTCTGTGCTTAAACTTACAAATATTGCTCACCAAGAGCTAGTCAATCTTTCCCAGTATACTCCTTTTGTTGATGCTACTCTGAAAAAAAAAAGATCCTTAATTTAAGACACATACAGTCATTCAAACTCAAAGTAGCTAAATCAGTCAACACAGAATAACACTGGTCCCTGCATACAGCTCAGTCCCATGTGGAATACAGACAGTCCAAAATGTAGACTTCAGTCATTTTATTTATATATATACATCTTACATGACATTATGATATACAATAAAGGTTATGTGAAAGCATACCTAATACATGTCTGTGGAAGTTTATGCAAATCTACTTAAACAAGTGAAAAAAAAGAATCAGAGTCTTTACCAAGATTTTTTCCTTCTGCAATTCTTATCAAAAGCTGACAGAGATACACTGTTTTTTTCTGATGTGTAGGCATTTTGGAGAGGCCATTAATAAGAGCTGGAAAAAAAAGAGAAAAGTTAGTCTTGCCCCAGCACTGCCACAGTGTGGATAGAAATATACTAGACACCGTGTTACCAGACTTTAATAATCTACTAAATTTCTAATTCATTGGGAAACTGATGAAGCACATTTAGTTAACATTCTTCCATGTTAAAAGAACTTAAATCATATTTAAGAATTTGACCAGAAAAACCTATCCATCTTGCAGTTCACAACAGTAACCTAGAAGTGGTAAGATGCATCAGAGGCTAATATTCATCAAATTAGAAGACCACAGTTTCTCACATAAATAAAGTTGCTTCGCCCAGCAGCTTACTATCACAGACAACTGTCTGCTCCAGAGACCATTTCTGTAGAATGCTGGCAAACATGAGCCACATGCAGGCTGGTAACACTTACATGTTGCTATAGCAACTGACAGACCAAAAGCAGTAAAAGCTACGAGGAGAGCTTAGTCAGAAATGTAAATCTTCAAGGGAAATCCTCCTTGTAAGGTTGGAAGGTCACAAGGATTATTATATATTTTAGAATGGGAGCTATCATGAGATTATTTCCATCATGCTGGTTACTGTGAACTTCATATACTGATGTGCTGGATACAGCAATTCATCTTCACAGCATAATACAGAAACATTAAAAACGGAATGTGAAGGATGTGTTAAGTGACTTGTCTAAGCTGCAGACTGAACACCCTAGTTCAGGAAGCGTTTGTGTACACATCCTGGTGTTGGGTTGGCAAAAGCCAGGATTCTGGAGCATGGGACCCTCAAGTTTTGTAGTGACACAACTAGAGTGTATAACATATGGAAGTACTTGTAAGTACTCAGCCTACTTGCTTATTAGTGTGTGATTGTCTCCTATAAGCAATGGATAAGCATGAAATTACAAAGTAATTAAATAGCCCTGAATGATCACCTAAGCTAGCATCAAGAAGGATACTGTCACGTGGGCTTGGAAGAACACATTTTACAACTGCTTCATTGAGGGCAGGCGACAGAAGAGCTTTTAATTCCTATAGCCAAAACAGGAAGTGAAAAAAAGAACATTGCTTAGAACAGCAGTAAAGTACCACTCGTTATAATCACAAATTCCTGCATCTTCCATAGCAGACAATAGAGTTCAATTTCAGAAAGAGTTTAGAGGAGTTCAGTGGTAGAGATAAGGACCATCATCACACCCTGAAGATGGAGCTAGAGCTTGGAAATTTTGGAATTAGGCAGAATACTGTAGCTGAACGATCCAACAGAACAAAACCGATCATCTTGGCAAGTAGTTTGAGATCTTTCAGCTTCCTCTGCTCTTTTAAGGTGCACCTACATTAGCGCCTTAATTCAGAGCTGGGGTGCATTTTTAAAGCAAACTTCCTGCGCTTGGTTTGTGCAATGGAGCAGTCTTGAGTACACAAACTGAATTACTTTAGAGCTATTCCAAAGAAAAAGAAGCCTCGAAATGTTTACTCTGTGGACACACGTCCTTAGCAGCAATTACCCACAAGTAATGCAGACAAACAGAAAGGGACACAGTCTTAGCAGTGCTTTCTAGACTGGTCTCCCTCCCCACCTCCAAGGCAGTTTCTGCATCTATTCTTTTGTTAATAGCACTCTCAATCATAACTTGCTTTCCACCCTACAGCCACTCAAATGTATTTCTTGTCTTAGCCTTTCATTAGCTATTCCAGAAATCCAGTTCCTTGCTATATAGATAGCTATACAAGCTAGTTCAGGTATATAGACCATAATATCCTGTTCAAGGCAGGATAAGGTAGGCAAGTCATGTATCCTTGCCATGATGTCTTTAAACCCTTAGTCCCAGGTAACCTAGCTATTTCTACTTGGCAGTGTACTAAGCTGCACAGAAATATTATTTATCTCCTAATAAAGTAGCTCGTCTTGTTCCCTTTCTACATTTCTGCACTTGCTTCAGTTTGAATTGACCTTCTTGTTGACAGCCAATCATTATCTCAGTGTGTCTCACTGACATATGCAAGACTAACAGTTCTGTATTTCTACGAATAAACCACACCCACTTTTCTAATGCAATCTTCAGCCTGCACGTAGCTTTTTCCATTGGCTTTTACACTTTTGGCTTTGTAATCTTATAGCATCAACACGCCCAACTCTTTCCTCTGTTGCTGAACAGAGCCAGAACAAATTCCAAATTTGTTACTAGTTCCCAGTTCCACGTGACCTTGCATTCTGTATAATTCAATTAACTGTTTCTACTAATACAGTCCTCAAAAGTCTTCCCCTTCTTCTCAGGAGATATTCCAATCTGCTTCTGTGTTGACAGCGTCTCTGCTTCCCATCTACGTGTTCATGAAAGTTCAGTACGACTCTTCCTTTGAGCCACAGGCCCAAGGCCAAACACAGAGAAGCACCATTAATAATCTAGCAGCCCCCCATCCGATGTACTTCATTACATCTATCTTCAGATTTCTTACCTCTTACAATTCATCATATCAATCTCCTTACTAATTATTCTGCATGCCATTGTATGTGGTTCCTCGCAAAAGATTAAGCAAGTCATACTATCACAATCACTTGAGTTAAGAACACACACGCAAAAAAAAAAAAAATCCCCAAAAGGTCTAACCTGGTAAATTCAGGAAAATGATTGCTAACAGAAAAACTATCATAAATCCATCAAATTTATCTGATACCTAGACACTTGCTTCCATCTACTGAATACTCTCGCTCTTAAATATTTCTTATTTTCAACATGTTTTTCCATTCAAGATCCAGCCACTAGACTTCCTTCCACCTTTGTCTGCTCGACTACAGTTCCTTGAATTACTTTCAGTATTCTACCACAACCCTGAACAACAAACCCAAGAAACTCAGTGTATTTAAGTTTCTCTGCTCTGGTTTTTACCATATTTGCATCTCTTCACCCAATCCTCTTCAAGCTTTCAGTAGCCTTGAACTCTCAGCACCCGAGGCCTCACCTTCAGTAACTGCTGGTGGTCTACAGGCAACCACGTTGTACGTTCAATCTTCCACAGAGCCAAGGCGATAGTTTAACCCCGACACTTGCATTCACCTAGTCACCTAAGAGACCTCACCCCGGCCCCTCAGTAACTGCTGCTTTACTGGAACAGGTGCAGTTTGCTTCCCTCCCTGGCCTCGTTTAACCAGGCCAGCAAAATTCCCTCAACGCGTGACCAGCTTGCAGAAAGCCAGCCCGCCCCGTATCGCTCCACGGGCCGGCCGAAGCTGCTGAAAGCCCCCCCAGCGCTCGCGCCCCC